GTTCTATGGAACTCTTTACCGCTGACTATTAGATCTAGTAGCAGTATTTCTGTGTTTAAAAAAAGACTGTGAAGACTTTTCCTTTTAATTTGTGATTTTTGGTCTATTTGATATATATTCTTACTGTATAGCACTTTTGAATATTGACCAATAGTTAAAGTGCTCTATAAATATATTCTTTATCATTATTATTATTAATGTTGACCGGATTAACCTATTGACGTCCACTGCGCCCGTATGCGTCCATGTGGACCCACACCCTTTCTTCACCTTGTGATGCCATCACTTTTAACCCTGGAGCATGACTTTGAGCACGTACTTGAACAGGTTAAAAATATCTTACAAACGATACCAGAATGAGCGCAATTTGAGTGAAGGAGATTGGAGAAATAGCCAAAAAGCCATGTAACTTTGACCTGAAAATCTGCACAAAAATCTTGTTCCATTACCCACCTACCTTTCTGAGCATGTTGTTTGAAAATAATGAGTAGTTTCCTCAAAAATCTCTACACCAAAATGAAGCCTACAAAATTTCCAGCAAGTGAGGAGAAACTTCAGGCAAAGAGAGGGGAAAAAAAGGGCAGGAGAAAGAGAGAAAAGTAAAAGTCATAAGAGTGGCATTACTTTTCAACCCAAAAACTATCTGACTTGAAATTTTGCTTTCTGCGTGTGTCCGAGATTTTCAGGCTGCCATTTTGGATCGAAAGGCCGTCGAGTGTACAAGCTGTCAATAGGTTTGTGGTAAGTTTAAGCTTTTAAAACCACAACAGTGACCCAAAATCTGCTCGACTAGCTTCAAAACACAGTTTTTCACAAAAGCTGCAGCTATTAATGAATTATCCTGTAAAGCTGAACCAAGCAAAGATATTTTCTTCTGAGCTCCAATGTTGACCAGATTAATTAGATCTTGGGAGTAAAGGGTTGAATTTGTCTATTCATACCTTTGGCAAAGATTGATTTGGAGTTCTGTCCACGCTTCCTTGATCTGTTGGCAGAAATAAAAGCATCAATTTTTCACTTTGTTTCTCAATCAGCAGATAGCTGCAGAAAAAAATAAAAAAAAACAATAAAAGGAAATAAACTAGACAGAACTTCAACTACAAAAATTTAAACTGGATGCAGACAGTAGTTTGGTTGCTGTGGTGATTAATTCATATTAAATAAATAATGCTACAAACCTGTTTGAGTTTTGCCCTCTGGACTGTCCAATATAATTGACCTTGGACTTCCATCAGGTGTCCTAGAGCGTGTAACTAATAACACTTTTTCATGGTCTGCAAAAACACTGCTTTGACGTGGGATAACTGGAGAACTGTCCTGAGGAACCTCAAGATAATGGGTAACATTTGATATTGAGGCTGCCAGATGTCCAACCAAAGGAGATCCTGATGAATCTGTTGAGTTGTTTGCATGAGCTTGATCTGGTGTTTCTGGTACTGGAAACAGTTCTTGCCTACTTGGAAGTGCACCTGGTGATCCCTTTAAAGCAAACAAAACCAAAAATGCTATTTAACAATTGGTTCATACATCAGCATGCATTCATCGAGATATGAAGCATGTGGGAAATTTGGAGAGCAGGAAAGATGTGTAAGAGTCGCTCAAGGCATAGCCAAGAGCAACTCTAGCTTCTTGAGTGCTCTCCAAACTTCCCAAGTACTTCACATCTCGATGAACGCACAGCTGACGTATGAACCAATTGTTTTATAACAATTTCAACTCTGTAATGTATAAAGGGCACAAATTCCCTCTCCTACTCTTCAATGCGTTGTTTATTTTGTTTCGGAAAAGCATTTCACCATGCTCCAATGGTCTTGTCTCAGATTGGTAAAAAACTGACAGGTGAATTCATGCGTGGAAATGAAGTTAGAGTTCTGAAAGGAGATGAAACCGTGATTGTTTTGTTTCCCCTTTCTCTGGATTCTTTCTTGGGAGTTAAAAAATCCATTCCCAAAGAAAAAGTAGGCAGATTTTCATCAGCTTGTTCGCTTGTTGCCATGTCTAGTTTAACTTTTTTGCGGAAGTTTTTCCCATTTTTTAATGAAAAATGCTTCAGTCACTCACGAGAAAAAATTTTTTTTTAAGGCATTTGTTTGCTGATGTCACAAGCATGCACAATGGAAAATTGAAGCATGCTCACGCTATTGAATTTGATTGCACTAATTTACAAGCTATGTTATAAAAGGTTTTAACGTATGGGCCTGAAATTTTTTTACAGGCCTTATTTCCACTACCACATATACACATGTATGATTTTTGCATATTCAAATTCATTGTTATCACTTCGATGGGTTTACTACAAACCAACGTAATGACCAGCTCCTAGTTGACTTGTAAGCTCAGTTGGTAGAGCATTGCACCGATATCACAGAGGTCATGGGTTCAAATCCTGTTCAAATCCTGTATCCTGAAATTTTCTTAAGCCCTCATTTCCACTACTACATAAGTAGGGTTCATTACTGCAAGGATCACTTTCTTACATTTCATGAAACCACAGTGCACATATATGATTTTCGTATATTCAAATTCAGGTGTTAACCCTTTTCACCCCTAACATCAGTATCTATATTCTCCATACTGTTCTCTATACATTTCCTTTGGTACTGACAAGGAGAATTTGTTCAACAATCAAAGCTTCTTAGGTTGCTGGTCATTTCCCTTTTTCTCATGATTCAAATGAATTATTTTGTGGTATTACTATAATGTGATAGTACATGCAGAAGCAGAGATGGTGCAGTGGTGAGAGCGCTCGCCTCCCACCACTGGGGCCTGGGTTTGATTCCCAGAGCTGGCATCACATGTGGGTTGAATTTGTTGTTGGTTCTCAGAGGGCTTTCTCCAGGTCCTCAGGTTTTCCTCCCTTTGCAAAAAGCAACATTCCAAATTCCAATTCGATCAGGAATTGAGTGTTTTTAACATGAGCCACCAGCTTGGAAGATTGAGCAGCCACTTCCTACATTATCTGCTTTAAAAATAAAATTATTATTATTATTAATTATGCTGGACATGGCTGATATTAAGAACTACAAGCCGATTAGCCTTCTGCCAGTAACGTACAAAGTCTTTTCACAAATCCTGCTTCAAAGGATGCTAGGTGCCTTAGACCAACACCAACCAAGAGAGCAAGCAGGCTTCAGGGCGGGTTTCTCTACCGTCGACCACATTCACATTGTAAGTCAGCTACAAGAGAAGGCAAACGAGGATAAGATTCCACTCTGTTTTGCCTTTATAGACTACTAGAAGGCCTTCCACTCCATTGAATTTACACCGCTTTTCAAGGCACTGGAAAACCTAGGAGTTGATCAGGATTATAAGGCTATCTTACGTGACCTGTACAATGGTGCCACCTTGGTTCTAAAACTACATAGGGACAGTGATAAAATAATGTTGGAGAGGGGAGCTAAACAGGGTGACAACATATCACCCACAGAGTCTCTTTATATCATGTCTTTGGTATGAGATCATAAAGAGAATTGATTGGGAAGGCAGAGCCCTCTCGATCAATGGAGAATATCTCTCCCATCTAATTTTTGCTGACAATATCATCTTGTTGGCCAAGTCACCAGAGGAAGTGAACGGTATGCTCATTGACATCCATAAGACAGGCAAACCAGTTGGCCTCAACATGCATATAGGCAAGACTAAAGTGAGGCTCAATGACCATGTCAACAATAACTGTCAATGGCAAGACCATTGAGGAGGCAGACAGCTATGTATACCTTAGGAAAGACATTGACACAAGATGGTGACCTACTTCCTGAGATCAGGAGAAGGATTGCACTTGGTTGGGCAGCCTTTGGAAAAGTGGACAACATCATGAGAAGCCGCAAGGCAAGTATGAAGATCAAGAGGAAGATACACCATGAGTACATTCTACCAGTAATGACTTCTGGGTGCCAGACATGGGCATTGAACAATGCTATGGCAGAGAAGCTTGCGGTTGCACAGCGAGAGATGGAACGTAGAATGCTGAACCTTACCCTTCGAGACTGAAAGCGAAACACCTGGATTCGACATGAAACTGGTGTAAGCGACATCGTCAATGCTATCAGGATGGCAAAGCAAAGATGGGCAGGTCACATAGCACGGGTGTCAGATAATAGATGGAACATTGGAGCAATGGAGTGGACCCCAAGAGATTGGACCAGAAAACAGGGTCGTCCAAAAACAAGAAGGAGGGATGATCTCACCAGACAGCTGGGACCTGCATGGTCGAGATTGGCTAAAGTCAGATACCTGTGGGATCATTCCAGGGAGGGGTTTCTCCGCCGGGAGTGAATGGGGCCATTCCATTATTGAAGGCTTTCTTGTAACACCCCTCCAGAAAAGAAATTTTTTAACCTCCTTCAGAATTGCCTGAAATAACTCCCTTCAGAATTTTATGTAGCTATCAAGCAAACCAATTGAAACCCCTTCAGAGACTACTCGTGAGAATTTCTGTAAGGGTACTTTTATGCCGACCCCTCTCAGAAATATGGTTCAACCCTCCTAAGGAAAAATATAGCATTGACCCCCACTCCCCCTAAGAAATCCCAGGCCTTCAATAGGGGGGGGGGTGCGGATATTAAATGGAATGGCCCAATTTAGCCCTGATGATGATGATGATGATGATGATGATGATGATGATGATGCTGGTCACTGGATCTTAAGGTAAAGATGACACTATACTAGACTGACTTCATTGATGAGCGTGAGCTTTACTAGCAAGGATGCATGAGCCACGAAGTAGAGACACTCTTCATATTTATGATAAATTAAATCAAAGATTTATTTTATTAACAGTTTGCTTACCTGACTTGAGGTAACAGTTGCAGTAGTGGTGACTTGTGTGGAGCGATCTCTCCAGTTTGTTTTAATCTTAAAGCTTCTCAATGTAGTTTGACGCTTTCTACACAAAGATAATATCACAGTTTAAATGCTTTACTAAGAGGAGAGTTACCTAAGATCGACTTCTAATACATCTTCGATCCGATCGGGCTCTAAATTTACAGATCACGGCAATTGATTCCCGCATTTTTCCCCTTTATATCACGAATCAGAGCTTCAACTTAAGTAATTACAATACTAGTCAGGTTGACGAACTTACGAAGGCCTTCTCCTTTCCAATCCAGCTTGTCTAGTGAAACGAACGGATGCTGGAGAGAGCTGATTGAGAGTGTCGTCAGTTTCTGCCGCCATTTTTAGAAATTTATGTTCTATTCGTGCCCAATCTACCAGCGTTCAGAAATATAGCAGGCCCGCAAATCGTACTAAGCGTCACCGAAAGTGTCAACCTAAATACAAAGAAATTTCTAAAGATTATACATGTAATCTCTTGCTTGGAAGGACGCGAATTCATTTTCGAGACCTATACTTGACTTCCGTGCCTTATCCTCGACTATTGAGGCTACGAGAAACCAACGACTGTTCTCAAAGTAATTTATTTGGTATCACTCATCCAACAAAGATTAATGAATAAAGGCTGATAGTTACGAAAGAAACTGTTTGGGGCTGCGTCGGTGGGGGTAACGAAATAATTTGGATATATCAACAAAGTTGAAATGGTAAATTTGCCACCGTAACGATTACAAAAGCTGACGTTTCGAGCGTTAGCCCTTCGTCTTTCGCTCCGACGAAGGGCTAACGCTCGAAACGTCAGCTTCAGTTTTGTAATCGTTATGTGGCCAATTTACCATTTCAACTTTGTTGATATATCCAACATAAAGATTAGATGCCAACAATATGAAATCCATGAAATGGGTGTACAAGGAATTGATTTTGTTCGAATTGAAATGTGGCTATCCAGTTAAGCAAATCGATCAAACTAAACTCTGCATTGAGCCTTATGTTTAGAGAAATCTCTATTTTTCTGCCAGGATTCGTACCTCTGGTAGGAGTCCTTGTAAATAAATAGTAAAAAATAATAATATAAAAGGCAAGTTTCAAAAGAAACTCTGGCAGTTATAACACGATAATTTGGTTTTACCATCTGAGTTGACAATGTTAAATTAAAGAGTTTCTAAAGCTAAAGTTTCAAGTGTCAAGTCATCGTCAGAACATTGATCGATTCGCCTGAATTTTACACTCAGTGGTACCTCACAAATATAGATTTCAATTATCTTTTTTCTTTTGGTTTTTCATTGTTTATAGATTTATTTAATTTCTTTGTATGCATACGAGTGTGATAATCATTCTCATCGTCGTTACCGTGGTCGTCATCGTCGTCATCGTCATCGTCGTCGTTATCGTCATCGTTATCGTCATCGTCATCGTCATCGTCGTCGTTATCGTCATCGTTATCGTCATCGTCATCGTCATCGTCATCGTCGTCGTCATCATCAAAGTCAGCGTCGTCGTCGTTGTCTTAAACGCAATCATTTCCCTTTTCGGATCTCTTTTCGCATGGGAGAAAAACCTCTAAGACGCTTAAACGATTGAGAGAAAGAGAGGAGAGTGTGGTCGTAATTTTTCACATATTCTTCTACATTATCAAAAGTTAAACCTGAGGCGCACACAAAAGCGTTATCTATGCGGGTTATCAAAAATATTGAAAAAGCTGTCAAGCTATTTGTTAATCGCAGGTTTTGTTTACGTTTCCAAAACAAACAAAATAACAGCTTGACGAGTGACCCCTGACTGAGTCAATAACCTGAAACCAACTGTGAAATAGAAACCAAACTCAAATTGTGAAATTTATGTACATAATAAATATCTAAAAAAAAAAAACAGATCTTCATTAAACCCGAAGGAATTTCCTGAATGAAATATTCAAGTCTCATTCAATGCAAATCAAGTGAGAGATTATCGGTTACCATGTGACCTGAAACACTTTGAGAAAGATCTAACACCTGCTATGGGGAATTACAAACAAATTATACGACGATACAGTGACTCGGCAAACAAACGCAAGGAATTATTCAACGCGTCAAAACTCCATGTATTTGGAGTTTATCTAGTCTTCTGAGGCAATACTTGGAAGCTTCCAAAACTCGTGGATAGAATTCAGTATTTTTTCGCCGGGTAATAATAAGCAATGGAGACTTGCTTGAATTTCGAGGACTGATAATTTAGTACGGTTTAAGTTCGTGGCCTGCTGCAAAGTGTTATCTTCGATGGAAAGATTATTTGGAGTTCAACCGGAGAAGCAAAGATTTTCGGCGTGCTATCATTGAGATTATAGAAATTTAGAAACATAAGTATTGCGAGGCCTTAATCATGAATTCCAATCGAAGGATTGTCTTTTTCGTCGAATGGGATACAGATTTCGTCAGTTTTATCAAGGGAATTACTTTGTCGCCATCGCTACGAGGCATAATTGTTTTACACATCTTCTACAGACAAGACATTTCGACGAAATTTCTTCCAAAGTACAAGCCCTGGCTTTTTAAGCATCCTGCTGCTTCAGAACGGGAAGATTCCGTGTGGAATTTGTTGGAGTCGTATGTGAAGAGATTTAACTTCGAAGCAAACTATTCGTTGTCGACACCTCGCGAAAAAAGGAGGCCGAGAACCGCAGAAACCATAGCAAATTTGGGTAGTCGAGATGGTTCCGATACATTCGTCAGAGATGCTTTTCCCAATCAAGCGTACTACGTGATCTCAAAATCAACAGAAAGCTACAAAAAGTTGGCTGAAACTGTTTATCAATTGCAACAAGTCAAGCTAGAATGCGTGGAATTTTCCACAACAACAACATTGCTAGATTTTCTTCAATTTAAATGTCCCTACTGTAGGATTGCTTTCACCGAAAAGAAGGAGCTGGACATTCACGACAGAGAGAGGCATGGATTTGTTTGCCCAAATCTGGAATGCAAATTTAACAAAAAGGAAAACTCTTTTCGCGAAGAAACCGAATTAAAAGAACACATCAAGAATCAACTTCGATGCTCTTTCTGCCCCACAAAGGTGTTCTGTTCCTCGGATGTACTAGAACTTCATAAGCGAAGCTCGCACAAAAAGTGTTCCTGTCCTTGTGGGAAATATTATGGCGAGCGACTGTCATATTTGGATCATTTCTTCGCGGTGTATCCTTCGCCTTCTTCAATTACTTCGTCGTCTCCAGCTGGTGGAATACATACGAAGGGAGAGTTGGTAAATAATCGCGGTCATTCTCATGTCGGGAGTAGCCGTAAGAACGCAGTTGATAAACAAAAAATCAATTTGTCTGAAAATTCGACTGTGTCATGACGTGTCAACAAGCCAGACGCCTAACAAGTCGGATACTTGAAGCTCAGGCTGATGTGAGGAAAGCTTTGTGCATGATGGAAAGTGACACAACTGAGTGAATGCAAATTTATGAGGTCAGTTACGAACTACAAAGGAAAATGACCTAAATCACCTTAATTTTCAGTCATGTTTTGATGTTTGGGGCTTGTTGAGCGCAAGAACTACTACTGCATATCTTGTCGTACAATGCAATGCAAATACATTTTCTTTCTGTATCCGAAGCGTAAGAAAGCGGAAGAAATTTGAGTGATAAAACGACAAGGCTGGATTGGAAACCCAAATACGAAACATTGGACCAGCGGCAAGGACTGCCAAGCTTTGGAAAACCTTGAGAAGCCCTTAACCTTTAACGGGATATGAGGCCCTTTAATTTCTAAGACGTGATTACACAAATACTCTTTCCTAGCTGTCATACATTTTTTTTTTGTAAATTAGGGCTTTTCCGCACTAGCGGACAATACTAAAATTGTCCCGACAAAATCAAAGGACAAGTTTTGTCGTCCAAAAAAAAAAATGTTTCCTCTTTTGCATCCGTACCCTGGCACCAGAGGTTTCTCTTTTTCTCTCCTTTTTCTCCCTGTTTACAATCCTTTCGAGCTGCGAAGCAGCGAGATCGCCGAGCTGCGTATCTCCGAGAAAAAGAGACGCTGCTACGCAGCTCGGCCAATCTCGCTGCTTCGCAGCGCGAAAGGATTGTAAACAGGGAGAAAAAGAGAAACCTCTGGAGCCAGGGTATTGCATCCGCATTAAAAATTTTACATCAGTCAGCGCCTGATGTGCTCAAAGGACCGGCCAACATATAGTTTGCCAAAGGACACCAACTCTAATTTAGAGGATTCATCCGAAGTCGTATTAAAGTTTTAAAAACCTCGAGTTTCGCAACAAAAGACAATTATTTGCCATCTCGTAAAATGAGAGAGTTTACGTTTAATTGACTCAGTTCAATGCTGGTCACGGTAGCTTTTATGATAAATGATCGACAAGTTTATTACGTTTTTGTCTTGGCCCGGTTCAGACGCCGTACGTCAGCCGAGCCGAATCGAAGAACGGCGTCTGAATCAATTCGGAACGGCTGATTTAAATTTAGATCGGCTCGGTCAATTAATCCCGCCTCGGGGAGAACGGCTGTAGACCGGCTTTGATTCAGACGCCGTATTCCGCATGAGCCGAATCAAATGCATAAATTATTTTAATGTATTCTTCTTGCCGTTTTTACATGTGAGCATAAGTGTTGCAGAAGAAAAATGGCAGCTTGAAGAGCCGAGCAAAACGATGCTGACAGATATTCTTCGCTCTGTCTAGTCGGTTCTTTGGGCATTATGTAGTTGTCTTTTGTGTATCGCTCGTAATAAGCGACGCTTTTACCAGCAGGGTAATCTTTGTTTTTTTTCAAAAATTGAACGTTTATTGCATATTGGAATTTCACATTCAAAGCAAGTATATTTGGTCGCGCCGAAACACTTACTGATCAACTGCCGGACTTTATATAGGTACTTCTTTAAAGAAGTGACCAAATAAAATACTTAAAACTTCGTTAAAAAACTTGCGTTCTTTATAACACTAATCAAATTTGTTACTTTAAACTGCGCCTGCCACGGTCACGAAATTTCTTCAATTAACTCGGCTGAAGTACGGCGTCTGAACTGGGCCTTAGTCGATTTTGTCCCGTTTTAACCCGGGAGAAATCTTGTCTGCGGTCCGTTCGAAGATTCGTCCACTTCGTCCAAAATTTGTCAAGTCGCAGCAGACCACGCCATTTGCAAAATGTTGGTGATGAGAAAACATTTGTCTCAATAAACAACCTTTTCGTTAGTGTGGAAAGACCCTAAGTTGGGAGAAGTTCGATGCGATATCAAGCAAGGCCGAAGAACAAATCTCGTTATGTAGATCAAGAGAACGCCCTCTCGGTGGTGATAAGAAATTTGCTCGCGGGACTTCCGATGGTCAACGAGCTAAATGAAACAGATTTTGAAAGGTTTCTGATGAGCCTCTTGGTCGAGACGAAACGGCGCAATGTTATACCAACCGTATGAAGTATTCTTTAAAAGTATTTGACATTCACCCTCCAAAAGTCCAATGAAAAGACATAAAAAACAAACTCCTGGTAAGTCAGTGCTTTTCGGTTGTGGAGTTTACTTTACTGATCCTAGCTTTTCAGTTTCTTCCAATATTTTTTACAAGTGAAAGGCATCACTCTCGCTGGAGATTAAGAGATGTGATTCAGTAAAAAGAATGTAATAACTGTCCGCAAAATTTTCCGTTCCCTTTATTGCTGGTCAATGAACTGATGTATTTAGAAAAGTCGCTAAGGTAACTGAATTTACCGGTAGAAATTTTGGAGACCTCGAGCTGCAGAAAGAAAAACTTTTCCAAAAACGCAGAAAAATCGCCAGTCCAGAAATGGTTAAAGGATAATGAATAAATAGAAATACTAAAAAAAGGTCAATAAGATATAGATAAGTATAACCACAGGTGCGTGGTAACCATGGTAACCGGATTTTTCTGTCTTTGTCCCAAATTACTTTCATGAGAGAGGTAGATCGGAACTTGGGAGAACCCTTGTTCGATTCATGACTTGTTCGGATTAAATTGGATCAACCATGATCACATTTTTCTTTGAGTTCCACGCCCTTTGGGCCAGAATCATCCAAACAAAACCATGAGAAGCGTTCTTAAATTCAAGAAAAAAGCCCGGGCAGATAACATTTTCGGCTTATTGAGATAAAACTTAAACCTCAAGTCCTCTTTGAATGGAATAAACGTAACGTTGTCAATTTTGACTCATAACCTTCATCTCGAGTTTCAATTAAGCGAGTTTGTTTTTTGTTCATAGAGCGCCTAGTCAGTCACCCTTCAAACAGACCGATGGACGACTGCTACGCAAACATGGCTCCATTTATGTCAAAAAGTATTTTTCATCCGGAAAGGTGCCGCTTTCTGATCGTCAAAGATACATTCATTTATTCTCACGTGATTAGACAGTCATTTTACAATTAGTAGTTGATTATACCACTTCACTTTGATCCTTAACCAAGATAAAAAAGGATTATAGCTGAATGAAAGTTGAACCAATATTGCAACTCAATCAACAACCTTTTAACACTGCAATTTCGTGTTATTAATCTGCTTTTGTAATTCTAATTACTAATTGCGGTGTTCACCGTTCTAGTGACCTTAAGATAGAGCAGGCGCGCACTCTTTTGTCCTAGAGACGTCTCTTCAAGACATGCTGTTTGTATTTCTCGCGAAACTTATCTGTTCATATGAAGACGACTCAAAGATGTCAACGTTCTTATTGTTTTCAAGCCGAAGTGAAGCTGCTTATGTATGATGATAGTGTTTGTTCGTTCGTTTGTTCACCTGCGGATCGGGAACTGTTTCAGTCGAATGGAAATACAATATAGTATTTTTTTTTTTTTACCATCATTCGGGCAATTACGGGTGAGAACATAAAAAGAACTGCTGCTTTGAAGACGTGTTAGATCGACGCGCAATCAACGGCTTAAACTGAGTTAATAAACATGTTCGCCGGAAGACATAACGATGAGTTCTACTTGATATGGGAAAGCAGCTGCCGCAACTTCATCGAAGACATTAAATTTTCTTCGCTGGACGCAAAATCGCGTTTGAACGTTCACGTTTTCCTGCGGAACGATACTCCAGTGAAAGCCCTTCCGCCATCGGACCCCGACTGGATTACAACTCATTTCACGCTCACAACATCCCCTTATGCATCTGATACGGGGCTTATTGCATGCCTTCTTGAGAAATATGGTGATTTCGTTGAGGAGTCAGGCGACAACCAAGATATTTCGCGGCGGAGACGAGTTTTCTTGGTCGCTGAGCGAGCGAGACAATATGAGGAACTTATCGCGAATTTGAAGTTGTTTAATCAAAAAGTGGAAATTCAAGAGATCAATGGTCAGGAACTAGACATTTTTGAAGTTGTAAAGGATTCGTGCAGATTTTGCCGCCTTGTGTTTGCCGATACGGAAGAGACGGACAAACATAACTTTGAAGAACACAACTTCTTCTGTCAAAACCCTTTGTGCCATGGCCACCGCCAAAGATTTCCCTCCGAAGAAGCGCTTTTGAAGCACAAAGCCTCACAAACTAAATGCCTATACTGCCAAGAGTTGTTTTGTTCGGATGATTTGAATAGAGCGCACATGAAACGTGAACACAATATCAACCCGCAGAGTTTTCCACATATGGAAGCGAAAGCAGATTTCTTTGCAGAACAAGAAAAAGTTTCATCTTTGCCTTTGCGAATTTCATGTCAGTTTTGCCCTCAGAAACAGTTTTTATCCAAGGGCCAGTTAGAGATACACATGCGAAACTCCCACAAGAAATGCAATTGCTCATGCGGGAGTTACTTCAAATCGAGAGAGGAATATTTAGATCACTTCTACAGTGTTTATCCACTTCCTTGTTACGAGAACCGCAAATGCCCGCACCGCTTTCAATCGGTTTATTACCAAGCAGCTCACCACAGAGATTTCCACAACTCTCTAAATCCATTTTACTGCGTTCCTTGTCAGAAAAGAAAAATCGCAGAGGGCTTGCCATTCTCGAATACGAAGACCTCATTCAAAGATGACAGTAGTTTGCGTATTCATGGCTGTTCCTTGGGCCACAACGAAACAGAAATGTTTTTATTTGATTTTGATGATGCTGCTCTTAACATAGGGGAAGAAAAAGCCCCTCTGCGAAGATCCCCAACTAGAACGACCTCGAATTTAAATTATTGCTAAGCGAAAGTAATTTTTCCTATAATCACGTAACAAGGGAAAATAATGGTACATTATTTTCTCTTGTCACAAAACTTAGGCTCGCTTTCCGCTGTTTTCTTAGAGCCCTCGTTCCCCCTTCCCTCTGAATACCGATGTCAGTGTTCTTTTGCGGGATAGTTTGCGCATGTCCTGTCATGCATGAAGGCATTGATAAATCACGATCGTCCCCAAAGCCACTCGGTTTGCGTTTTCATTCGGATTACGTACCCGTTTCTCCGACCTCATGACCAAAAGGAAAGAGGACTCTGGAGACGAGAATGGCTGGGTGTCGCATTAGGTCGTTGAAGCCGAGACAGACGGTTTTGGGGGGTAGAGCGCCGTCAATACATTACTCACATTGCCGTTGGCTGTCATTGAGTGAATGGCAGCCAAGAGTGTAGGCCTGCAATGTATGCACGAATGTCGAGTTTATGGTTAATATCACGTCGCTGATTTTAGTTTTTGTTTTCTGTTTTCCTACTGAGAGTATGAACAGAAATTTTATTTCAAGAGCGAAAACGGTGTTTCATAATTTATCCAGCTTAGTGTAGACAGAGCCCAAAAGGTCTTGGTTTGAAAGGTGTTTAATTTCCCAATACTGGCGTACAATTTTCACCACCCACCCCCCCTTGTTTGAGTTGTTTTTTTTAGAGGCCAACAGTGACATTTCTTTTCTCCACTCAAAATTTTTGGTTCAGCTTTTTATATCAATACATTAATTATGTCAATTTTTCTTAAGCATGCAAATGTGCTATTGGAAGAATGCTAATCTATGTAACTGGCCATAATTTGAGACAAATCTCACAAGTACCCCCCCATTTAATTTCCCAATATAATCTTTCAATTTTCATTATTCCTCCTTGTTTGAGTTGTTTTTTTTTTTAGAGGCCAACTGTTACATTTCTTTTCTCCAATCAAAACAATTTTCAGTTCACCTCTTTATATCAATACATGAATTATGTCCATATTTTTATTTTGCACGCAGATGTTCATTTGTATTATAAAAATGCTTATCTACCTAACTGGCCTTGACTTGAGACAAAATCTAATAAATACTCCCATGGTAAGGTGCTAATCATTCCCCCCCCCCCTAATTTTCTTGTAGATTGAACCTTTAACCCAAGAGTGATATGCATTAAATTCTCCCAACAGTAACACCAGCAAGAACATTAGGAGAATTTTGAGTACTGTTGCTAGTGTGAAGGACTGGGATAACTGCTGCAAGTGCTAATTTAAAAAATTACAGTTTTTGATTTCTTGACCTCACATCTTCCATTATCCATAAATATCTTTATTTATTTCAGTATTATCTTAGTTTTATACAATTCACAACAAAAAACTGCTCTTTCAACCGCCATTTCTGCATTGTTCCACAACAAAAATGACATTACTTCTTTTCTGTCATTTTTTCTCTTGAGCGTCATCTGTTCTAAGGCATTATTCCTTCTAAACAATTCCCAAAAACTTATTTTATTCCAGAACACTTTTACATAGTGCTTATATACTCTTTTAAAAATATGTAGAAGTATTCATCACATGGTTACAGTAAATAATGTTGAAAACATTAACACCAAATATACAGTACATATATGTGCAACAAATTTTGTTGGCCAAAATATTATCTTGGTATTTTACTTTAAAACTGAATAGAAACTGTACAAAACTTTTGGCTATCAGCATGTTATTAGAAATATTCTTCTGCAAATATTTTGCAAAGCAAGTTATAACCTTTTAAGCTACAGAACTTTATCTGCTCACATATTAAGGTACCTATACCTTGACTGATACTGTCAATCATAGCACATTAACTCCTTATGCGTCTTTGTCCTGTAGCTAATGAGTTGTTCAAATTTTTGCATCGTTCTTGCTGGTGCACTCTTTACTCTGTGTCCAAATTGATGACTAGTTGTGTTTGGAACTTTGTCAGAGAAGACACTCACTTTTTCTGGTAGTTCTTGTTTTGGCTTGAGTCTTCCCTTCAAAAAATAAATAAATAATTCTAAGATTAGTATGATAAAATTCAGATAAGTGTGGGATACAAAAAGATTTCTTAAATGTGATTTTTCAAGGAAAATCAGAAGATAAGGCATGTAATTTAAAAAATTGTTGGTTTCTTGTGTCAGTGAGGGGTTTTTATATAATTTGTTTATTCTTGTGTTTTTCATGTTGCCATGCATGTTCTCAACAACAATGTAAGTCCTTTCTGTATACTTAAATGAACAACACAGAGCCATTTCTTCTATTTGCTTTGAAAAAGGGCTAACTCATGAAACCTCAACCTTATAAACCCTTTACAATGGCCACTTGATTATTAAAAAACTGAAGATTTCGATTATTTAAGTTAAATAATACTTAAATAGAGGTTGAGGTATGGGAAACACATTTAACACTGTATTATTATTATTATTGGTTACTGGAAAAATAATAATTTATTAAATAGAATCATAGTTGCCTTACCTTTGGGTCATAATCTTTCAGAAATCCCCAATTCTCCTCCCTAAAAACAATACCATCCACAACACAAAATATCAGCATGATATTATCAAAGTATTATTAGTATTATTAGTATTATGACAAATGTGTGATAAAATACAATTTCAAATTTTACTATCAATTGCCTCTTTCAACCCACTGTTCCCACATGACACTTTTCTGTTTGTTTCAGAAATGTTCCCACATCCGTAGGGATGTGGGAAAGAGGCAATTGACAGTAAAATTTGAAATTGTCTTTTATCACACATTTGTCATAATATTTGTCATAATATGTCATAATGACATTTGTCTTGACATTCAGGTGCCTGAAGAGACATCCAAGGGGGGTGGTGAAAGAGAAATTTGGAAGAGAAGAGGTATAATAGACTTGGTGAATCTTTCTCAGAATCAAGCCGTATATTCTCGATTTGAGTCAATTTATTTCACTACCTGCCAATTATAATTTATGGTATATGAAAATTTTGAAGATACACAGCCTGCTGACCTCAAAGAGTCAATATAAAAATTAAGAGGAAAACTGTGACTTGGCCTATCCATTTCTTCAGCAACAACAAGAGACAACAAATTCAAAAGATGCAACAGCAAACCTCTTATCTCACCAAGTACTCATGCATTACAGGATAGAGGGTTACATAAGTATTTCTTACAATCGCGTGTTTGAGTGGTTTTTCCACCACATCAAATTCACCATCAACACACTAAAACTAGCCTACACGAACAGAAATGCCCATTATCTTACCACTTTGTCCTCATTTTCTCTTCTTCGCGACAACGATTCTTCCAAATGGTGTCATTTACAACGACATTACTCATTTTGGTTGGAATATTTGAGTTGGGGAGCTAAGAAAGGATTCTCTAATGCTAAGTAATACCCCTTCAGATCTTAAATGGTGTTGAGTATTGCTTCTCTTCTCTTCTCTTCTCTTCATAAACAAGGAAGCTAACATAGATGAGATAACCGCAAACTGTCAATATCAGAAACAGCTGTCGTGACGTGTCGCTCCGTTCAACAATGACTCAGCTGATAGCGATCTACAATCGCTTCCACGACGACCGATAATTACGTATTTACAACATGAGCAATCGACTGTGATCAAACCTCCATGCGAAGTGCATTCATACGCCAATTATCAAAATATTAAGCCAGCGAAGATTTGTCTCTTGATTTTTACTAAGGATCGAAGAATCAAACCCGGAAACGAGCTCTCACAAACAGATTGCAGTGTTTAAGTTAATTCTATAATCTTACCATTTTCTTGTCATTTTTCCTTCGTTCCGACAACGATTCTTCCAAATCTCATCGGTTCTAACGAAATTACACCTGGCATACTCTCTCTGCGCATGGGTTTTTGGAGGAGCAGACCTAACTCTCTCCTTTTGAGGAGTACATTTCTCGTGATAAAGACTTGGAGTTCCAGCCCGCCATGTTGAGTCTGGAAATCTTCCCGCAGAAGCCGCTCGAAATCCGGATGAACTTGCCATGTTCTTTGCGTTTCTTAACTCTAAACTATAAGTTTTTGATGGAATGGGCAGTGACTGTTGCTCTTTTCGTAAAGTGAGGAACCCACAACCCCGATAACAACCGCGAGAGACAAAGTATTGTTTTGTTCTAGAACACAGCGATCATGCTGAAGTTTAGAAGTCATGTGACGTACTGTTACCAGGTGACGGTAAACAATAACTTAACCAGGATTTTGTTACAGGTACCCAGGCTCCACCCATCGAAACTCCAATCTCGAGCCCAGGGTAGGGTCATTTTGGCTGTTTGTTAGCGGTATGGACGCGCAAATAGGCATTTATAGATTATGCTAGCATAATTTTTGGCATAATTCGAGCAAACTGGCATAATTTCTGCCAAGTAGCAATGCTAGCATAATTTGCGCATTTTGATAATTATCAGATCATTTTTGATGCCATTATTTGATAATTTTTTGTCTCTAGTCCCAGGCACTTGGTGACCTTAATCGATATTTAAAGTTTTAGTTTAACTAGTAGCATTTGTAGTTCACTGTGAAGCACTGAGCCCGGGTCTGAGGTGCACTGAAACCGGAAGTCACATTTTAGCCATGTCGATCCCAGTACCTCTCATTAGGCAAGGCTACAATAGTGGCGTCGGCCATGCCTGATCCGAACGTAAACTTGCATTTGCACATGTTTATTTGAAATTCATTGTGGATTTGTTGCGTTTCTTTCCTGTANCATGAGAGGGCTCTTAGATACGTGTTTAATTACTTTTCCAACGAATATGATAGTCTATGTTATAAGATTGGTTACTCATTAAGTTGTAGAGGGAAACAAGATATACTTTTAATATTTTTTAAAGCCCTCTATAACGATATGCCTCAGTATATTCAATCGTTATTTCAAGTAAGAGAAAATAAGAAAAATCTTAGGGGCAAAAACAAACTTGTTTTACTGTAGCCAAGACCACAACTTACGACCTTAAGTCGACTTCTTACATTGTTGCTAAGGCTTGGAATGCATTACCTGATAAGTTAAGATTAATGGCCGAATTTTGCCCTTTCAGGAATGAGATAAGAAAACTAAGTAAGTTGTAATTTTATATCATAATCATTTATATCATCATTTATATTTAGGCTTATTTTATTTTTAAACTCTGTAATTTATATTCATATATTTTTCTCGGTATATTAGCATCTCTATTGCTAGAGGTCTAACAAGCCTCATTTTCATCCGAGTTTAAATAAAGTCATCATCATCATCATCATCATCATCATCATCATCATCATCGGGTTAGGAACCATGGCCCAAACTCGGGGTAGCCCATCCTACAATGCTTCAGAGGTATACAAAATAAGTTTTCAAACTAAAATAAACTTGGCGTCGGCCAAAGGTGCAAGGTTGGTTCTGAGGCCTAGATGGACTTCACATGTTGTATTCCCCGTTATATGCCACTGCATCATTATTACCCATGATGCTCGAGCCTAGCTAGGGCCCAAGTCTTGTCGTATCTCGTGCCGACAAAAGATTTATCTCTGCCTTATTCGCCGACTCAATCGTCAGAAAGATCATTTTTCAATAGTCTCTGTGGAAAATAAGAGAAAGAAGTGACACGTGATTGCTGGAAGCCTGGAGTAGTAACACGTAGATAAATTTTTATTCGTCTAGTTCTTTAACTATTGTTCGGCATTGTCCAAATTTTCTGTTCGAGTTCAGCCGAAAGGAAAATTGTTTTTCAATGCTGTTCATTAGTGTTCTCAATAGGTGCAGTTAATTTGAGGGTGCACGATTCTTTCCATTCAGGCGGAGCCAGCCGTGTGGAGGATAATCAAAGGGGATAACTAAACATCTATTGTTGGTTTTCATTGTTTCATTAGCTTCTTTCACTCTTTGCACTGTTTGCCTTCTCCATCGGTCTAAGTCCGTCTCTTTTTCGGTATCGCTTTCTCCCAGCGAAGGTAAACATAATTTTATCAAAGTTTCAAATCGGCGAGTCTTTTGATCGCGCACCAAGAAAGGGTCTACACTCAAGCTTATATCATTTCCTATCAAACATCAAATGCAAAGTTTGGAGCATGTGCTTCTAGTGCATAAGTGAGATCGCGAGCGCTTATTTGAAAGAAACCGCATGTTTTTAATTATGGCTTGCTCATTTTGTTGTCTCGACGCTTTTGCGTTATTGAAATAACTTTTGTCGTGCTTTATCAGACAAAGAGGACCCGGTTTCTCTGACGATTCGGTTTGATGCTTGTCACACGTGAAACGTCCATTGGGAAACGGAACTTTTTCTATTGCTATAGAATCTAATTTAACTGAATACCTTGTCAATAGCTTTACCCTTATTATTCTCATGGCAAACCTTAACTAAAGGCGGGGTTATCATCTGGTTGATTAGTATTTTGTTTACAAGTAAATATGTTGAAAAGTGCTAGCCCTCGTGTTTTTAACAGTTCGTGATGAAAACTTTAAAATCAGACTTCTTTCAGATCCTGTTTTACAGTACTCATCATGATTGACTGTGCTCTCGGCACGATTTTCAAAGTGGAAGTTCTCCGTACAGATCTGTCCTGTCGCTCATTTTGATTTTGTGTCATTTTTTCAGTCTTGTTTTGTTTTCTTTATTTTTTATTCATTTTTCATGAAAATTGTAGTTCTGAGCATGCATTTCAGGCTGCAGAAACTTTTAAGGTCTTTCAAAATTTCTTACGAAATCTGCCCCCTCGAATCGTTATCCAAACGTTGGGTTACTTTTTACACCTTTGTTTTGATTTGTTTCCCACGAGGATGCCAATTATCTGAGCGTGATTTATTTTTGGATGATATTTTTATCAGTTTCGAGACAATAGCTCTAATCAGTGCAGTGTTTCGTGATGTTTTGTCGAGTGCCCGTGGCAAATTCTCCACTCTCGTATTTTCACTGACTTAAATTTGCATACAGCATAATTTTTTTCTTGCTTCCTTACTTTGAAAAGACGGAAATACCAGTAAATTCAACGGGAGTTTTTTAAATAGTTTAGACCTGTGACAGCATTATTGCACAACGTCTCCATGACAAGTTGCAATGACGTCATTAGCAGCACCCCCCTCTAGGCTTTCCGAATAAAACTCTCCCTTTACCCAATACCGGCCTCTTTAATCGTGGTTCTCAGAGAGGCGAAGGTTAGTAATTGAGACACTATTTTATTTCTTTTTTATCCGTCTCAATCTCGTTTGGATGAAAGCCATCGGGGCCTGTCGTGTTAAGAGAAAGATTCTGTTATTGTTATTTCGCGTTCATAAACGATTACTTTGAGGTTTTTCTCTCCTTTGGATGCGAAAAAGTTGAGGGTTTTATACCTTCCCGTGGCCCTCACCGATCTCATTTCGTCGACATAATTTCGGTGTTTCTGAGCTGTTTTAAGGCTTTAAATTTTCAATTTATTAATCTGATTTAAAAAAACTTCTGGCCTAGGATATGGGCTAGAGCCGTTTCGAAAGGAAATCTAGAAAGGCGCTATTTGTTGAAATGAAAATGGCGAATCATCGATCGCCAACACGTGATGTGTCGTTTAAAAGAGAGAGATTTTAATGAAAGAAATACTGTCTCGATCGTTGTTTCTGTGTAATCAAATCAGATCAGGTTCTACAAGCAAAACTTGCGTATTTGAACTCTGAAGACGACGTTTTCTCAAAACCCAAGTTTTGCCTCTCAGATCATCTCGTCTAAAAGTAGCAAACCCAAGGCTTACAATGGGAAAGGAAAAGACTCACATCAACATCGTCGTCATCGGTCACGTAGATTCTGGAAAATCTACTACCACTGGCCATTTGATCTACAAATGCGGTGGAATCGATAAACGAACCATCGAAAAATTCGAAAAGGAAGCCAATGAGGTAAGAAACGTTTCCTGTAAGCATAACGCAAAAAGGTTTAAAAAAAGTGTGCTGAAGATGTTCTGTGTAAATTTTAACAAATCACAGAGTCTGTGATGGCGCTCTTTTATTTAAGTTGTGAGGACTGTCTCTTAATTTTTCTTTTATTGGTGGAAGATTTCAATTTGTCACTTGCAGTCTCACTTTGGTTCAACTTATGAAATATGATCTTGAAAGGTGATACATGTCATTCCCAACATGAAATTATTTGAGTGTAAGTTCAGATTATGACTGATTATAAGCTGAAACCTGCTTTCCTCAACACCTTCAGACCCTGTAAATGCCCCAAAGACCCCTCGCCCCCCAGGGATCTTCGTAGTATTGGGGGGGGAGTGTATCAAGAACTCTTTGATAAGAGGAAAGCAGAACAAAGCAATTGTCATTTTATCAAGTGTGTGCGATGAAAATGGGTAAGTTAGCACATTGACACCTGAACCACCCAAACCTCGCGATCACCTCATGCAAGAATGCTTTCCCCCCTACCTCCCCTACCAAGTGGAGTTTTGTCCCCAAACTTCCTCTATAGGTTAGGGAGCAATAAGCCAATCAGAATCTGTTGTTTGCGCATATATTGTTTTGACTTTAGGGGTACTAGAGGGGCATTACTCTCTGCGTCTTCACTAAATGACCAAATTTGAAAATATAGCGTCGACGCGGCCGACCCTCAGAATTTTCAGGTCGGATTTTTCGTTCATTTGCGATCGAGTTAGACCTTGTGGAATTCAGAATGTAAAGTAAAAATGCTATAGAATACTCTGCTTGGAAAAGAATGGATATCAAGGTCTTAAAAGTGACAGATTAAGCTCTCAAGTCAACGACACTACGATTCTCTAAGGCAATGTGAATTATGGATGTTAAGTGAAAACCAAACTTTCAGACTTCGAGCAGGGCCTGGCGACAATTTGACGATTCGATGGCCTGGTAAATATTATGTTCAAGTAACAATGTGTTCAAAAAGTATAGTTTAATAGAAGATTTTGCCTCAAATCGAAGTTTTTTATAGAATTTTCAACATAACGCTGCGCAATTTCTGGCCATGAAGGCAAGTAAACAATTATGTAAGCATGATGAATTTTACCACGTGGGCTTTGTACATGTAAGAAATTTGTACGTTTTTGGCTTATAACAGCAAATCAAATAATGTTTTGAGTAATTCTGACGTCCCGAAATATTTCTTGGCCATTTTAGTCTTGCTTCCTTTTGATAGATTCCATGGAACTTGAGATCTCTTCACTCACAGGCAAATTTGCATATTCCCTTTTGAAATATGATCCACATGCCCATTTTCACACATGCGAAAATATTTAGCGATTTTTATCTTTCATCTTGATTTTTGAGTTAACACATGATATGCACCTATTGCTTTTTTAGCCAGAAATAAGTTCTTTAATTAGTCCTCTTTCACTGGAGCTTGTTTTTTGGAAAAGCTGATTTTTAAAAATTTACTGCGCATTATGTTTGCCTTGGTTTCTCCAAAATTTTGAGTTTTCATCGGCATGTGTTACACGCAAGTGTCACTGGGTTAAGCAGCAGAAGCTTTTCGAAATTCTGGGCTGATTTGTGCACATCAGTGTGACAGAGAGTGTGCTATGGAACTTGCTGGGCTTACAATTAAATTAATGTTCCTGAGGCTTAGAACCCAAGTTCTGTGAATTAAAAGTGGTGGTGGAAGGATCCATCCCTCAAGACATCACAGAAAGTGTAAGGGGTGACTTTAGATAAAACAATACGTCTACATTCCACTTTTTTTTTAAATCTTAGATGGGAAAAGGCTCCTTCAAGTATGCTTGGGTGTTAGACAAGCTCAAGGCTGAAAGAGAACGCGGTATCACCATTGACATTGCTCTCTGGAAATTTGAAACTGAGAAGTATTATGTCACCGTCATTGATGCCCCTGGTCATCGTGACTTTATCAAGAACATGATTACTGGTACTTCACAGGTAAGGCTTCCACTGTCCTTGCTAGGCTGCCTATAGAAGAAAAAGAGCTTGTGATGCATTGAAATTGCATGTGATATGGTACAATGGCTTTCTGTTGGACTTGATCAAATCTGTTAAAGGGTAAAATCAGAAAACCACATGACTGTCTCTGAGAAAATACCTGGGAAAGATGAAAAATCAAGCCAATTTTGGTTGTAATGTGCAACACAACCTCGAGGATAAAATTTTTAAATACATTTTTCAGTGGAAAATAGCTCACTTGGACAAACAAATCGGATCTAACGATAACACACAGTAAACACTACATTTGAGCAGAACATTAACGTTTCAAGTTTATTTAAAGGCATAAAAAGGCTTCATCATTCCCGATTATCCTTAGTGTAACAATAGGTTTCAGAATTTGGAAGTACACTAAGTTGTTTTCCACAGATTGACTGAACTTGAATCCTGTGGGAATAAAAACACTTAACTAAATGCTCATATTTGGTGGCTAGTGATATCTTAGATGTCACAACAACTTCAGTTTGTTTACTAGCCAAAACTGAATTTCTGTTAGTCTGTAGCTAGTGGGCTACCATTAGCATCAAGCCCTGGAAGGTTTTTAAGAGATAGATCCTGTTACTGCAGATAATACTGGACTAGCTATCTTTCTTGATGACCGACTGGTGAGTGAGTGGCTAATTTACAGCTTAGTGGCAACTGGCAATGCTTGTACAACTTCTGAGTGGGTGGATGAACACAAGAACTTTATTGAGAGTTTTGCCATTGTCTTCTGTTTTGTAGACAGAGTTTAGAAATGTGAAGGTCAAAATGCCTCAGTCCCTGTTGTTAGGATTAGCTCCCCTCCCTTTTCCTTTTGCTCATCAGAATATTTCTGACCCCCCCTTTTTTTTCCAATCAATACTCATTTGGTGTTCAACTTTCCAGGCTGATTGTGCTGTATTGATTGTTGCTGCTGGCACTGGTGAGTTTGAGGCTGGTATTTCGAAGAATGGCCAAACCCGTGAGCATGCCCTGTTGGCATACACTTTAGGAGTAAAGCAGCTAATTGTTGCTGTAAACAAGATGGACTCCACTGACCCCAAGTACAGTGAGGCACGTTTTGGTGAAATTCAAAAGGAAGTCAGTGGCTATGTCAAGAAAGTTGGCTATAATCCCAAAGCTGTGGCATTTGTTCCTATTTCTGGTTTCCATGGTGACAACATGATTGAACCAAGTAGTAATGTATGTATTTTCTTACTGGTCTTTGTTTCTTTTAGTTGGTTCAGTGCTTATTTTGGGTGAAAAATGTATATGTTGTTTTAAGGTTGGGTAGCTACAAGATCAAATCCAGGGGCACCAAGTTGTTATTGCTTTTTTGTTAGGTACTCTTTCACTCGAGTGATTGGTGAATCTGGCTAAATATCAGGTTCAAGAGATCTGTGTTTCTGTCCAGGATAGAATTGCAGTGTTGCAGTTTCTTATATTTTGTCATTCTTCTCTTTGGATCTAGATGAGCTGGTTCAAGGGATGGTCAGTTGAGAGGAAAGATGGAAATGCCAGTGGAAAAACCCTCTTTAATGCCCTGGACTCGATTTTGCCACCAGAGCGCCCCGTTAAGAAAGCTTTACGTCTGCCATTGCAGGATGTTTACAAGATTGGAGGCAAGTTGTTTCTCCCTTGGTGGATGTTTAACCTTATGATCCCTTCAAGTTAACAGCAGTCAGACTTGTTCACTTTGTCACAATCTTCTGCCTTTGATTTCTTTGGCCCAGGTTTTCTTTCTCTCCTCTTTTTGACTGTATCATGGAGATAGTTATTTTTCAGTGTTTGCGATTTGTGATACAAAATACAGTTTCTATTGTGTAGTAACCCCAACTCCAAGAAGTGACTGACAGGTGGCTTCTCTCTACAATAGCCATATTATGTTCAGGAAATGGGAACAGGGTTCTGGTTATTTAATTGGCTGATCAAGTAAAGCGTTACCTTGTCTCCTTCCAAGCAATTTTGTGAAGTTATCTATCTGATGTTACTGGTTTGAAAATCCATCAAGTGTTGAAGAAATCCTACTTATGAGAATGTGGAAAATATACGTGGTATTGTGGTGTAGAACAGGACGCAACTAAGGAGCAGGAAAGTGGCCCCACTAAATGATGATCCAAACTAACTTTAAGTGGGATGTAATTTTTTTTTTTTTTTTGGTCATGGGGAACTCTTAAAATCATTTTTGTTGGGATTGAAAGCAACAAAGCATAAGTGGTAAATGGAATTTAGCAATATCTCAGGATGTGGCTTGATATTAAGTAATGTCCATTTTCAACCTCTCCCAGGTATTGGAACAGTGCCAGTTGGCAGAGTGGAAACTGGTGTCCTGAAGCCAGGCGTGGTAGTGACATTTGCTCCTGTTAACATAAGTACTGAAGTTAAGTCTGTGGAAATGCATCATGAATGGAAACTGGTGTCCTGAAGCCAGGCGTGGTAGTGACATTTGCTCCTGTTAACATAAGTACTGAAGTTAAGTCTGTGGAAATGCATCATGAATCTCTGGCAGAAGCTCTCCCTGGTGACAATGTTGGCTTCAATGTGAAGAATGTGTCTGTTAAGGAAATAAAACGTGGATATGTTGCTGGTGATAGCAAAAATGATTGCCCGAAGCAGGCTGCTAGCTTTAATGCCCAGGTAATCAGCACTTTTATCCTTTGGATTATTTCTCTTCTCCAACTGGGCTTAATTTAAGTAGTATTTTTTTCTACTAGAGTAGTGCAGTAATGTCAGTCTGTTGGCCAATTTGCTGTTGTGGATGTGAGTGTAGACAACACTGCTTGTGTCAGTGTGCCATGATCTTAGTCACCCACTGAAAGAATTGTTTTATTTGACATCAATATAGTGGTAAAAACAAATTAATAGTGGTTTAGGGTGGTCTCTACTCTGATATATTTGTTGCAGACTCACTCAGCTGTGTCTTGTGACTCCACACGCACACAGACCATGCTTAACCACTATTGATTTGTTAAAGTTGTGAGAATGGAGAGCAAGTGGGTGAAATAGCTTTGTGGTTATTTTTAGGTAGTGTTGCAGTTTTCATCTTAAATTGAAAGCATCATTGCATCTCCAAAATGTATTTACAAAATCGCAGATCTTAAGTGCCAGAGAAACAGTAATCTCCCAACTGTTTCCCTGTGATGCTGCAGAATTATTTTTCTCAGATGTGCTGTCTGTGGTGCACCAAATTGGCAAGCCATGTTTTTCTCTCTTTTAGCCTTTCATCCCCCTAAGTGGGACTAGCATCTAATTCCTCCTTATAATATTACCCCTCAATCATTCACTGAGGATGCGAGAAAAAAACCCTTAAAAAAGGAATGATCACCAACTAAAACTAAAGAAGCTCTTGATTGTTATTAGTTATTCCATGTCAGTACCAAAGGGAGGAAGGTACAGAGAGGAGTTTGGAGAATGGGGATGTTGTTGAAGTTAGGGTGTAAAGCATTAAGTCATTTTTGTTGTGTTGTGTTTATGCTATTTCTACCATCAAGTCAATGGGTTAGTTACATTGTTAACTCTTGGTTCCATTTTGGTAGGTTATTGTCCTAAACCACCCAGGAGAAATCCATGCAGGCTACAGTCCAGTGCTGGATTGCCATACTGCCCATATTGCTTGCAAGTTTGCAGAACTTCTCGAGAAGATTGATCGTCGTACTGGCAAAAAGTTGGAAGACAACCCCAAAATGATCAAGTCAGGAGATGCCTCTATAGTCAAGATGGTGCCATCCAAGCCAATGTGTGTGGAAAAATTCTCAGAGTATGCTCCGCTTGGACGCTTTGCTGTACGTGACATGAAGCAGACAGTAGCTGTGGGCGTCATCAAGGAGGTGGACAAAGCTGAGGCGTCCGGTGGCAAGGTTACAAAGGCAGCCCAGAAAGCCGGCAAGAAAAAATGAAATTCACTACACCATCTTAATTATAAAAGACTTCTCCGCTTGCAAGTCAATCACGCTGTAGTAGTCGAATGGCTTCTTTCCTATCTATTTCATCGCAAGTCTGTGCGAAGGCGGAGACTGTTTTTAAAATGTGAAGGTTTAACTTTTACTTGCTAGGAATAAAATCAATAAAACGTTCTGTTGTAGGTGGAGTGTGCTCTGTTTATTAGATCATGATTAAAATATACTTTCAAGGTGTGGCATCGACTCGAATTGAATAAACTACTGCTTGTTATATTTTTACATTGCGTGCAAATGGCAAAAGTTAAGGTATTAACACTTACCTTTTTCTTTCAATTTTTTTTGTTTTTTTGGAGAGAGTGTCTTGACAAAAGTGCTCCTAATCACTGGTCATGGATATTTCTCACGAGGTGTACCCCTTATGGATTGCGTAACCAATTATTCTGTGAACTATTATTCCGTGTGTTGGGTGTGAGTTGGCCATAAACGATCTCGTATCCAACGAGCGCGATTTTATCAACTTCTTCGCCGTTCGTTATTGTTATGGGAGCTTAGTAAATTTGACTCGAATCGAAAGTTTGGAAACACGTGGGCGAATTCCTTTCCATAACGAGTGATTCGGTTTAAGGGCCGAAAACCCGTATTGAGTGAACCAACCGGGTTAGTTGACAAGCTAGTAATTGCTGTACTAAACTGTTTCTGAGGTAATGTGGGGTTTATTAACCGAGTGTTTCGACCGTTCGCTCTTTCTCGCGGACGAAGGGCTTGCCTGGCTTTTCTGCCGAAGTCCATCTTTTCTCTTCAATCATCAAACTTTTTAAGTGCCGGTTAGTAACACTAGGTCCAACGTAAACCACGGTTTTTGACCAGCAATGGCACTCGAGTTTTCTGTCTAAGAATCTAGTGTCTTTCGGTCCCCCCTGACACTTAACAAAAGCTCAGCTAAAAGGTTTGGCTAAAATGAAGATAGTTTAGAGCTTGGTTTTGTTAAAGGACGACTAAACTCTGTATAAATGACCGTCGCAAAATGTTTTATTCTCGGCAGAATTTCTAGTTATCTACCAAGGAAAGCTCAGATGGACTTATCCGGTGACTTCTAATCGATTGTAAGGTATTTTTTTTTATTGGTAGATGAACCGGAGGGGGCTTGTAAATAGTTGGGGGAGACGAAGTGGCATTGTAGACAGTGCCAAGAATTGATATTTTCATAGTGAGACCAAAAGAGTTGGGTAATTTTGCTATCAAGCAACCTTAGTTTATTTTCCAGCTGGTTCTTTTCTAGTCCCTCTACTACCGACGGACTAAATAATCTTCTCGGAGATGATTGTGGAGAATACCTTACCACTGCCGTTTCACGGATACTGGGGGTGGTGAGGGGAAATATTAGAACGCTGGAAGTAACGGTCAGTCAATCACATTTAGGGATTTATGTCCACCGGTAACAGCGAACTTCGAGATTTTCCCCCTGGGATGTAACGGATGTCATATTTGAAGTATTTATTGTCGTTATGCAACGCTGACCTAAGAAATTAGGCTCATGTATTAAAGTCAAAATCGAGGAAAGAAATGTTGTGTTTTTCTTGCATCTTCGCATCTTAGTTAGAGAATGGGGTGGAATGGACTCGTATAAACTGAAACGATGGTTTACGCGTTCTTAATTCACACACTTACTCCTGGGCCCTGTCGATTGTTATATTCATCAGTTTTTGTGCACGACCCACAGGTAAGTACAGCTCAAACACAACTTTCTCGAATTTCACCTTGTGTATAACCAAAGCAGCGTGAAGTATGGTCTTAGTGAGGAAAAACGGCTTGGTGTTTTTAAAGTTTTTGGTAGTTTATCAACGCTAAATGAGTCAAACTAAAAGAAATGAATGACATTCTCAAATTAAAGAGATGAATTACATAGATGGAAAGAACGGCTGGTTCCAGCTAATGAAATTGTCTCGAAATATGAACAAAAGAAAAAGTGAGCAAAGATGTCTAAACATATAGATGCGATTCCAGCCTTTTATCCTTAAAAGTGACTAGCATCTAATTTCTTAAAGAATTATTACGATTCCACTGTAGTAACTAGTACAAAGGTAGTTGGACTCCAAGACTTAAATAAGGCGAAAAATGTAACGATTGACATAACAACGTTACAGAAAGGACCACCAACTTACTTCTGTGACCCCAAGCAGAAGTTGGACTAGCATTTAATTTCTCCATGCAATATCTGTCACCCCTGAATCAAACAATTTGGGTCCTAAGAATAAATCAAAAGGTCACTAACTAAAGAAGCTCTGATTGTTAAAGAAATTCTCCTATTCAGCACCTTAAGGAATGTATAGAGAAAAAGTATGGAGAATATGTATACTGTTGTTAGGCTTTAAAGGGTAGAAGCTCCTATGCTCATATTCTTCCATTTGGTAGCCTTGGAAATATATACAGAACTTTTTTGGTCTCAGATCAGATCATGGGTCAGATCACAGAATGCATCAGAGATTGGATCACAGATTGGATCATGGATCAGATCATGGATCGATTCAAGAATCTGTCATCAGATCCCTAGTCCAGTCTGTGATCCAATCCGTAATCCAATCCAGGTTCTGTCAATACCAAAACTTTCTGGAAAACGTGCATATGGATATCAGTGTGTGAAGGGGGTTGATCAAATTGGCCAGTCAGTGACCCTTTTAACAAGTGTTGCCATGTCAATCAATGATCCCTGATCTTATTAGATCAATGAGGTGCCAACAGATGATGAGCGTGCAACCAGGAAGGAACAGTTGTTGCAAGTGTCACAACGTGTGCAATCTGAGTACTCTTTTAGATTTGTTGCATCAGGAGATGACAGTCCTGAGGATTTAGCTGGATTATCTTCAACAAATGAGTACGTTGAGTTTTTGGAGTGGTTTTTGATTGGTTCTTATGATCTCTTGTGGAGGTGCGGTGGCCTCATGGTTGGTGTGCTCGACTCCGGATGGAGTGGTCCGGGAGCGAGCCCCGGCCGGGGACATTGTGTTGTGTTCTTAGGCAAGACGCTTTACTCTCACAGTGCCTCTCTACACCCAGGTGTTTAAATGGGCACCGGCAGATTTAATGCTGGGGGGTAACCCTGCGATGGACTCGCATCCCATCTAGGGGGAGTAGAAATACTCCTAGTCACTTCATGCTACAGAAACCGGAGTTAAGCGCTGGCCTGATGGGCCACTTGGCTCATAAACAGACTTTTATGATCTCTTAGAGGACAGAGCAGTAGATGATGTCACCATTACCACTTGTTGCTTCTTTAGGATATAAAACAACTGGATTCCATTTTGCCGTGTGTCTTCTCTGTAATAGGTGACAGAGGAGGTCAGTGAACATCAGTGTGTGACCAGCATGTGGCTAGATTTGTACTCTTACCGCATTTCAACATCATCTTTACTGAACAGATGTACATCAGCATGGAATCTATTTGTTGAAATGACAAAATTGACTTTAATTCAAAACCAGTGCTATTCCAGAATGAAATCAATACCCTTAACCCAAAGTGGAGTTTTAGGTTCTTCATTCCCTTGGCTGTGGAATAATTCGGTCTTGGTTCACAGATTCATTAAAGAAGCCATGTTGCACATTTTGTGTGTACAGTGATTGCAATGGATGGCAGGCCTTATCCACACTTGCATTTTAATTCAAAACAGTGTAATTTTTTCATGTTTTTTTGTAAATCATCCACTTTAAAATGCCAGCAAACCCTTATTAGAATGAATGATTGCAAATTAAAATGAAAAGTGGAATGTTTTGGAAATGCTCTGTTCCTTTTGTGAATAAGTTAAAGTAGAGGCTTTTGATGCTTCTGATTGAGTGAAAACAAGTGTATTTTTCATGTAAAAGGAATGCAAAGGTGTAACACAAGTGCAAATTGTTGATCTAATACCAAATTCTCCAAACCAGCACCATAAGAATTGAATGACAGGGAGTTAGGGGATCTTGGTTGTGAAAGGGTTACAAAACTGACAGATTTCTTTCAATTTACAGGCTTATGTCTAGTTTGAAGTCTGGTGTTTTCAGGTAAACAGTTATGTATCTCCTTTTTGAAATTAATTCACATTTTTATATATCCACCTACACCTCCCCCCACCCCGGTTAGCCCAATTGGTTAAAGCGCCGGATTGTGTTGTGGGAGGTCGAGGATTGGAGCCCTGGCTGGACCAATACTCATGGTCTTAAAATAACTGAGGAGAATTTGCTACCTTTCTATAATACTAAGAAATGGATACTATTAGATAATTCTAGTCTTCTTGGATAAGCACAAATAAACCATAGGCCCCGTCTCCTGCAGGGTTAGGGGTAGGAGACATTAATTTCCCATACAGGAGATTACTGTGTGGTGGATGTCCTCCCCTGGGGTGGGATGGGTGGGTGTTATTGTTACACAGCCCCATTTAAACCAGCTGTTAGCTGAACTGGGCTACCCTGTCTAATTATTCGTAAATGTATAATATATAATATTATTAAAAACTGGATCATTGGATAATGCAATTCAAGACTTATTATTGGCTCAGCCATTATGGTATATGAGCCAATATACCATAATCTAATTTCTGTACATTGTTAAATCCGGTTTTTTTTCACAAAATAAAGTCGAGAAGATTTGTCTAATATCTTGGGGGCGTTTTTTTAATAAAACAATTATTCCACTCTTGCTTGTTGGATATGAGATGATTATAGCCAACTCGGCGCTACGCGCCTCGTTGGCTATCTATCATCTCATATCCAACACGCGCTCGTGGAATAATTGTTAATTAGTTCGTCTCTCCTCAACAATATTATAATGTTATATCATGTTTACTTTACTTTACTTTATTTAAAGAGGGAAGCGCAATAACCGGTTACAGTTTTCTAACCTGCGGCCCTCAACCCACCCATCCTATACCCACCCATCCCACCCCAGGGGAGGACATCCATCACACCCCAGGGGAGGACATCCATGACACCCCAGGGGAGGACATCATCACACGGTAATCTCGCGCGTGGGAAATTAATGTCTCCTGCCCCTAACCCTGCAGGAGACGGGACCTCCATTTATTCGTCCCTATCCGAGAAGACTAAAATATCTAACGATTTCTTGATGTTATAGAAAGTCACAGGAATTTTGTGTTGGATCAAGATAACGATTTCTACCTGATAACTCTGTGTATTCTCATTGCATTTTGCTGAATCATTGTTGGATATTGTAAGGAGAAGTTGCATGTTAATCACTTCCGGGAGTTAACAGGTTAAAAGTCAACCTTAGATACAATTGCTACAATCTGCGACAAAACTCTTGAGACACTTACACCAAAACAATTGAAAGTAAACACATTGTGAAACTGTGTAAATCTAGAGAAAATCACTGTTAGTTCAAGAAAGCAATGATTAAAGTCAATTGCATTACATGTATTACTCTCATAATGCCTTTTTATTTGATGTCTGGTTTGTAGGCTTTCACCAGGAAATCCCTTCAATGCAGAAAAAGTTGTTCTTTGGAAAGGTTTGGCAAAGTAAGTCACATCCATGAATTTTGTTTCATTTTTGTCAACAAAATGAGTTTATAGGGTGGCTGACTTAAATTACAATAAAACCAATTAAAAGCAGCCTGCCCTCCCACTAAAGGATTTTGGGGGGCTTGCTTGATTTTCAGGGGGAGTGGAGGAGGGATCAGTTGTCACTAACAGAGTTTGAAGGGGAGGCTATAGACTGAGGGGTTTTTAAGTATAAGTACTGACAAAGCCTTATGGGAAGATCAAGTAAATTTTGTTGCAACACAACCAGAATCCTCTGACCCTCCAGGTGAAAAAATAACGGCCAGGCCCTCAGTTGACTTTTTTTTTTTGCATTACTTTGAAACCAATTTCCTGAGTGAAGTCTGTGAAAAATGCAGAAAGGTTTCTTGAAAGGGCTATATGGATGGTCAATATGAAAATCAGTAAACCCTGAAAACCATTTATTTCAGCTGAACTCTTTATCCTGTGAGAGTGACCAGCGTCTATTTTTCCTTACATTTTCACCCCTGAATCACACATTAAGATCACAAGAACTAAGGAAATGATCATCAACTAATAAAGAAGTTCTAAGTGATTGTTAAACAAATTCTCCTTGTCAGCACCTTAGGAAATGTATAGAGAACAGTATGGAGAATATGCATATTGATCTTAGGGTTGTAAAGATGTTGCATAATCAGCAATTCACTTGCACCATTATTCACGCCGCCAGTTACGTCTTATCACAATAGAAATCTTTGTTAATTAGTGTACATTGTAGTGTAACCGTATTATATGCAAATTGCCACTGAATATATAAACTCGTGAAGTTAGTTCCACATAGGATTATTTCTTGGATTAGTGTGTGTGTGAATAAAGAACCTCTTTTACAGAACTGAGTAGTTAACAAAAGAGTTTTAAGTTGAATGCCTTTTCTTTGCAGTTCAGGATTCACTCTCATTTGTGAAAAGGACGAAAATCGCCTCATTGCTGAGAATGTTTTGGACCATGTCATCAGACACCTTCAGGAACACTGCCAAATTATCCTTCAGCCTTCTGAGGCAAGATGGTTTAGCATTTCTAATAAAAAAACTACTATACTTATTTGATTGTGCACCCTGGGCACTTACTAATTTTATGGATCTTGAGTGTAAGCTTTTTTATTTTCTCTGAGATATTTGCAATTTTTTTTGCTATTTTAAATTCGAGATGAAATAAAGGTTTGTTGTTGTTATTGTTTTGTCTCTTATTGAACGCTTACTTATTTGAGGGCAGGCACCTATCAAATTTCACCTTATTAGGTAATCATTTTAATTTGCAATAAAACAATGAAAAAAAAATGTGAAGATGTTCGATAGGTACCTATTTGGGGCTGGGTGACCATTAACTTTTCTTACCTTCAGGTTGGGTGCTTATCAAATAAATAATTCATCTCAAGAATTTCATTGAAATGTTGTCTTCATTTCTAGAAACCGCCTCCCAGTTAGCTCAATGGATAGAGCGCTGGACTGTTGTGCGGAAGGTCAAGGGTTCGAGCCCCGGCCGGACCAACACTCAGGGTCTTAAAATAATTGAGAAGAATTTGCTACCTTTCTCTAACATCAAGAAATGGTTACTAGATGTTCTAGTCTTCTTGGATAGGGACAAATAAATGGAGGTCCTGTCTCCGCAGGGTTGGGGTAGGAGACGTTAATTTCCCACACACGAGATTACTGTGTGATGGATGTCCTCCCCTGGGGTGGGAGGGTGGACTAGCATGAATGGTTCCTATGTTCCTTTCTAGTCCTTCCCCACTGCAAAACTTAATGCTGTGAAAATGGACTAAATTAAATTAAATAGAAATGGTATGCTTTACCTTTGTGATAGCTTATTGTTTTGTTTGATTTTTTTTATAGGCAATCCTCAAAGTGGACAGGGTTATAACAGTTATTTATCACTTTCTACCAAATGGGCAGGTATGATTCCGAATGAAAAGGTCACAGTCAGCTTACTTGATTTAAGGGAAAAGTTTTTACCTCTGGTGTTTTGAATAAAACGAACTCAGGATTTCTGATAGCTGACAGAAGGCAAAGCCAGGATGAACTAAATTATGAAATATTTAAAATTCACAAGTCTTGAATTTAAAAGAGAAATGTAGGTAACCATTTGATTCAAGATGTGGTCACTTGGGATGTGGATTGTGACTTTTAACTTTTTTTTTTTTTTAGTCAGAAGAAGAAACTTACAATTAAAGAGAAACGTAACTTCCCCCCCCCCTTTTTTTTTTGAGTAAGAACAAGAAACTTACAATTAAAGAGAAACAACTTTCTTTTCACTCTTTCCTTTTTGTCCCCTAAGTTTTTGCAACTAAGCCATGCAAGTGCAGGACAGGACAGGACAGCTTTTTCTGGACCTCCTCTTCATCAATCCACTCAGCTCTGCAATTGTCAGCTTTCACTCACTCATGGGTCGTATGGGTCATATAATGATATTCTTTATTCATTAATTTTTTTTCCTGTTTTTTTTTTTTTTTTTTTTCCAGCTGCTGTTCATGAATAATCGTTATTTGCGGCAAGTGGAAAAAGAATTGGAACAAGTCATGTCCTTAAAGAAGGAGTGAACACAACTGTTACACTTCAAAACAAGTGCTTAGCTTAGTTATTAATAATAATAAAAAAAAATAAAACAAATTCATCTGATCTTTCCCCTGTATACCAAGTGTACTGAGTTTTGTAAGTTTTTTTGAAGTATATAAGTACTAAATATCACACACCTTAATTCTAAGAACTATGTTTGCTTTAAATGTCTTCTTGAATTGTTTACATTTGTGAAATAAAATGAACATAGTTAGGCATCACCTGATGAGTCAGTTCAGTTTCCAAGCGAATGCTTTATCAGGTTATAGCACATGCATGTAACTAGAAAAGGTAGAATAGCAACAGAACACATTTTTTCCTGGCTCTATTACATGATAAAGCCACTTAGGGTGTTGGAAGAACATTCTCTCCCAACATCCTGTGTGTTCTATTGGTTAACCCTTTCACTCCAGAGATCTCGATAGTAATTCTCCTTACTCTTTGCCATACAATTCTTTTGACATTAGTTCAGAGAATTTGATACTGGATCAATCAGTTATCCCATAATTGATATTTTGCTTTCTTCTCACCACTTGCCTGCTTGATATTGTAAGGAGAAATTCCATCTCGGTCACTCATGGTGAAAGGGTTAATTTATAGCAGAGCTCGCAGAGCGTAGCCCTATAATTATACAAAATGTTAGTAGTAACCCATCAAGCTGAAAAAATTTGGACTTATGACTGTGCAGTGTCAATACAAGGTGCTACTTTTGGCACAACTGTGCCACAGGCATGCCAATGCCACAGCTTTGTCCAGTAGTCCAGTGGTCAGTGCACTGGGCTCTTAATCAGACAACCCCGGTTTTAGTCCTGGCTGGAGCAAGGCGTTGTGCCCTTGAGATGTGCAAGAAAAAAAAATCCATTTTGGCACTTTAGATCAGAATGTCAAACCATGTCCATCTGAAAATTATCATCAAGTTCAGTCTCTGGTTCGCCCCTGATGAAAGGGTGTGTCGAAAGGAGGACTGTGGGCTTACTTTCCTAAATATAATATTATTAATGATCATATGCTCTTTTCTCATTATTTGATAGCAAAATTTCCAAAGGGGTGACTCACAAACCTATAACGGAAGGTCCTACATCAAGATCAATTATTACTTCTATTATTAATGTTGTTACTTTAAAGAACAAAACACTTCCTGTATTTTAGATGCTCTTAACATCACTTGTTTGGCTGGGTAGCTTTTCCTTTTCAAGAACAATGTAGATTGCCTGGTCATTTTCATGTTTAGAGGGTTTTAAGGAGATAGCTATTCCATGTCTTGACTTGTTAGTGAAGCCGTTCATATTGTGTATTTTGCTTGTCAAACATGGTTTCTATTTCTTCCAATGTTTTACCCTTTGTCTCTGGCATCAGAACAAGAACAAAAATGAATGCAAGAAGGCAGAATCCTGCATAAAACCAGTATACACCTTGGATAGAAAGAGCATCAACCATAGATTGATATGTTTTTGTGACAACAAATGCCAATGTCCAGTTGGCCAGAGTTGCAAAGCTGCTGGCCGGACCACGGGCTCGCAGGGGAAATATTTCTGACATCACAAGCCATGGAACAGGCCCCCATGCTAGGGCAAACATCAAGTTGAACAGAACAATACACAAAATAGATAACCAGGAAATCTTCTTAGCTGGAACAGAGTGACTTATTGAACCAAGCAAGGAAACTGTTTCACTTGCTGAGCCTTCACCTTCTGGAGGGATGTAGATCTCAAAATATACACCAAGTGCTGCCAAAGACACACACATTCCAATCGCTGTTGTCCAGAGGAGAATGCGCCGCCCTGCTTTGTCCATGACTAAACAAGCTAAAGCTGTACCAACAAACTGCACCAGGCCTACAGCAATGGAGACGAGCTTTCCATCTTTAAATCCTGCCTCTGCAAAGATGTGGGCAGCATTAAAGAGAACTGCATTGACTCCACAAAATTGTTGAAACACCATTAACCCAAGACTAATTATCAAAGGTTTAGCTATCACTGGTGACAGCCAGTCTTGTAACTTTAGCGTCTCTTGCCGCTCTATCCAAGAAAAATTATTACAAATAGCATGTTAGTACAAACATATGTACCTTTAGCAACAATAGGCTCATGAAGCCTTTTGATGAGTACATTCTATACCCGATTGCACTGATGAAAGCAGGGGTACTAGAATTCAAATTAAACAGATTGCTTTTTTATCAAAAATGTTTTGGATTTTGTGAAAGTGTGACAGTTTCTGATCTCATTTTCATTGTGTTGTCAAACCACTAAAATGTATCCTCTGATTCTAAGGTTAGAAAAAGGTTGCCAGCCACATCAACAAAAATTCCTTTAATGTAAAACCTTTGGGAAAACTTCCTTAACTTTTTAACCGCCTCCCGTTAGCTCATTGGATAGAGCGCTGGACTGTAGTGCGGGAGTTCGAGGGTTCGAGCCCCGGCCAGACCAACACTTGAGGTCTTAAAATAATTGAGAAGAATTTGCTACCTTTCTATAACATCAAGAAATGGTTAGATATTCTAGTCTTCTCGGATAGGGACGAATAAATGGAGGTCCCGTCTCCTGCAAGGTTGGGGCAGGAGACGTTAATTTCCCACACACAAGATTACTGTGTGATGGATGTCCTCCCCTGGGGTGGGATGGGTGGGTTAGGACAGCAGGTCCACATCAGCTATTACAGCTGCCAATTAATCAACCTGCTTAAACAAATAAATGAACTT